GGACAGTACAGAGTGAGTTGTTCCTAAAATAGGACAGTACAGAGTGATGTGTTCCTAAAATAGGACAGTACAGAGTGAGTTGTTCCTAAAATAGGACAGTACAGAGTGAGTTGTTCCTAAAATAGGACAGTACAGAGTGAGTTGTTCATAAAATAGGACAGTACAGAGGTTTATTGTGAGTTGTCGTTCAAAAATAGACAGAGAATTTTATTTCTTTGACAAACCAAGTTCAATGAAATATGGACAAAACACATTTCTAAACCTTCCTTAAAAAAGATTTTGCTGAAATACTGTTCCCAATATTTTACAATAATTGTTTAAAATTGCATACGGCAGCAACATTTTTAAAAAAATTGAAAACTGTCTTTTCCTGTGGATGGACACCAATGTTCAAGGGACTCTCGCCAGCTGGAATAAACTGAATGGTAAAGAATTATCTCCCCTTTCTGTGTGCTGGAATATTTTCATCGTAGGAACAGGCGGGCGGGCGGACCATGCGTGTTCTGTTTCACTCTTTATTATGAAAGCTCACTCTTTGTTAAGAAAGCTCACTCTTTATTATGAAAGCTCACTCTTTGTTAAGAACTGTTTTCACTGTTATTGACAATGGAGATACGACAAGAAAGCACTGAGGTCGCGATCTATTGTCTGAGATGCGACAAGAAAGCACTGAGGTCACGATCTACCGTCTGCCAAGGTTATCTCTACGTTGGTTTTGCACTGAATGTTTCTTTCTTTGAGAAGCTTTTAGTTATGTTCATCGATAAAGTCCCTTTTTTTTTCTTTTTCCAGAAACGTATGGCCATTCTTGCTCAGATCCTGACCGACAATTTACCATACGGCTGCAGCTTTCGCCAGCCTCAAGTAAGTTTGGGAGATCTTTGCTTTAGATAAGTAAGTGTATCTTTGCTTTAGATAAGTGTGGGAGATCTTTGCTTTAGATAAGTGTGGGAGATCTTTGCTTTAGATAAGTGTGGGAGATCTTTGCTTTAGATAAGTCTGGGAGATCTTTGCTTTAGATAAGTCTGGGAGATCTTTGCTTTAGATAAGTGTGGGAGATCTTTGCTTCAGTAACGCGACTCAATAACTTGTCTCAAGTAATGGAAATTTCTCTCTTGTGCAGGGTGGCTTCTTCTTGTGGCTGCAACTACGGAAGGACACGGACGCTTCTGAGTTTCTGAACTTTGCTACAAAAAAGTTTGGAGTGAACTTTTTACCTGGAGTGCAGTAAGTCTGATACTTTGTTTGTTAAGTGTTAGTAAGGTTTTACCGCACTCGCAACTGCATAAGGTCATATGAGCACCAAGGGGTGGATGTCAACAGAGAAGTCCAAACGGGGAATCAGACTTACTCTGCTCACCTCTCTAGCTTCAACAGCACAAGGTCTGCTTCGACTATCAAGGCACGCTGGAAATAATAGTTCACAAGAGAGTGACAAACATACAAAAGAAGTAGAGGAAAATGATGATAGTAAGGATGAGGAAAGAAAA